ATATGTATGTGTGTTATATCCCCCAACATCCATAATTTATTCCCAAATCCTACATCACTCACCGGATAATACATTTAGAATCCCGCCTCCGTTACGCGGGTCGACCTCCCTCCGATTGAACATTATCCATCTGGAAACTGACAGAGTTTTTTGAACGGAACATTCTCATGATATTATGGAATTTGACATTTTATTCGGTAAGTTCGCCCCTTCGCGTGTGGCCTTGTGCAGCTCGTTATATAAGGGTGGTCTTTTTAAGAGTGTGTATTTAACGTGAGATTATTAGAAGGTAAGGGAATGAGTTGGGGTTCTTGGGCTTTACGTCTTGTGTCTTTTAGTCTATTGAGGGAAGCAATTTGAACTGTTCATTTGTCTGTATGTTCTTTGTGTTCTTGTATTGTTAGGGGTCAAATGTGCTATATTTTTGTTGATACGCAGTAGGTATTTGTCCCTATTTAGCTCGTTCTAATGTATCCTGTCTCATTCTTTCTCGTAAACAACCACAGAAATCTGAAAAAACACGTAAACAAACCCATTCTTACCAAGAATCAGACAAAAACAACCACCACTCCTGTTAAAGAATCAGACAAAACAACCACCACTCCTGTTAAAGAATCAGACAAAAACAACCACCACTCCTGTTAAAGAATCAGACAAAACAACCGCCACTCCTATTCAAGAATCAGACAAAACAACCACCGTTCCTATTCAAGAATCAAAACTACCAAGATGATACCAAGATGCCAATCAAATACTCCAACCACAACCATGTCCTCCTTATTAGACAACGCAGGGACAGCTTCCCCGTAACAGTAACAGTCGGTGCGGCTACAACGGCCCGCGGGTCGTGTCTGCCGGTGTCAGGGCCGGCGAAGTCCGCGGAGAACAGGCTGGCACATCTCGGAGGCGCTGTCGATATTAGGGGACGCTTCCTCGCCCTCGAATTATTGTGCGAATAAGGATTTGCGGATTATTGTCCGTTGTCCGAATTAGGATTTGCTGTAGGTCGGGCTGGAGCTCCTCCGCGGTGTGTCACGAAGAGTGGAGTTGTTACTAAAGATGGAGTGTGTGTTTATATATATTATGTATATATATATATATATATATATATATATATATATATATATATATATATATATATATATATATATGTATACATATACATATTGTATGTATGTATATGCAGATATAGATAAAGATATGTGTGTTGTTTGTATGTATGTGTGTGTGTGCATATATATATATATATATATATATATTATATATATTATATATATATAATATATATATATATATATTATACACACACGCATGCATGTGTCTTGAGTTTTTTTCCGCCCAAAGAAAACGCGCACATTCCTATTTTTTCTTCCAAATGACTCTAATTTTATATTCAGGCTCCATCACATTTTTGAGCAGTCGGCTTGCAGCGTCGGAGGTCGGTTATGCCGACGGAATGTTAATTCGGAGAAGGCCGGAATTGCCCCCATTTTTTTCTCCCTTCCCTTAAAAGATATCATTAAGTACTTTAACTTTTTTTTTTTTTTTTTTTTTTTTTTTTTTTTTTTTTTTTTTTTTTTTTTTTTTTTTTTTTTTTTTTTTTTGCGAAATTGCCGTCTTTTTGGAGTGGCGGAGGAGATGTGTCGGGAAGTTTCGAGTGGGTGAAGTTACGGGTTTTGGGAATGTTTGATGTTTTTAGGATG